TGGTGCCGCCCATGGTGCCACCCATGGTGCCGTCCATGGTGTCACCCCTGGTGCCGCCCATGGTGTCACCCATGGTGTCGCCCATGGTGCCGCCCATGGTGCCGCCCATTGTGCCGTCCATGGTGTCGCCCATGGTGTCGTCCATGGTGTCGTCCATGGTGTCGTCCATGGTGTCACCCGTGGTGTCGTCCATGGTGTCACCTATGGAGTCGTCCATGGTGTCACCCGTGGTGTCGTCCGTGGTGTCATCCATGGTGTCGCCTGTGGTGTTGCCTGTGGTGTCGCCCATGGTTTCACTCAGATGACCTGAATGAGAGTTATTGGATTTGGTACCTGGATGATTGAGCATGAACTTTGTTGCATCCATGGTGCACAGTTTTGTCCAGGGAGGCTGGAGCCGGTAGGAGTTTGTGTAGTGGAGAGATCGTTTTGATGTCTTAGCAGTGAGCTGTTCTTTCAGATAGTATGGGTATTGCTGTGAATGGATTGGTGGGTGAGTAAGGAAACCTTGTATCCACTGCGGAGTGAAGCGGGAAGCCAGTGAGTTTTATTATATTATTGAAGGAGCCTGTCGAGGCAGGCAGATATTTCACGTGTTGCACTGCACTATAACATACTAAATGTGCTAAATAATAACAGTAACGATAATAAACAGTATTTATGTTAGTGATTGGAGATACAATGAAGCCATCTGGATATTATGTTATTCAAGTTATGTGATTTAAAATGATGTGAAACATGTTGCATGTTATTAAAGTTAAAAATTAAGATATCAGGTTTAATTTGTATTTATTTATTCAACACCACAAACTGTATGTTACACAAACACAGATCAGAAAAATGAACACATTAAAACACGTTAACTGAACTACATTAATGAAGTGGACTCTTCCTCACTGCTGTCATCCTGGGTACTGACGCCATGTTGTTTATATGGCTCGTTCAGGCCGTCACTCCTTTGAGTCCTCCAAAATACAGCAAGAACTATAAGTGAATTCTCTCATTTCTAGGCTGATATCAAACCAAAAGATGTCCATGTTTTAATAATTGGTTTTAATCATTGTGGATTTTAATATTTATGTATGTTGTCAGGAGAAACCCTTAGTGAAGGACTTTGTAGGTTTATTGAACTCTTTTCATTTGTCTCAGCATGTAAATGATCCCTCCCAGGAACATGGACACACACTAGACCTGGTATTATCACATGATGTTTCTGTTTATAATCTGGAAATCGGTGATGCTGTGTTTTCAGATCACATGCCAGTGCTGTTTGAATTCACCCCTCCCTGTCACTGCTAAACCGTGCGCTCCTGCTCAGTGCAGCAGAGCCATTGATCACTCCACTGCTGCTCTTTTCACCCATTGTGTCACCCATGGTGTCATCCGTGGTGTCGCCCATGGTGTCGCCCGT